ATCAAAAACATAGTGTCTAAAGCAGACCTGGAGATTCTTATCCATGCATTTGTCTCCAGTAGGTTAGACTACTGCAATGGCCTGCTCACAGGTCTGTCCAAACAGGCTGTAAAACAGCTGCAGTACATTCAAAATGCAGCAGCATTTGAGAGAATAGACTTGAAAACAGCTCTGCTTGTGTACAAGTCTATCCATGGCCTCGCACCAAAATTAGTGACATGTTGGTACCATATGAACCAAGCCGGACTCTGAGGACTTTGAGTTGCCTTGTGTATGAATTGTGCTATACAAATAAACTTGCCTTGCCATAATTATGGCTTAGTCATTTTCAAATCATGTTTTATTTGGGGTTTCACAAGCCCTGACTCAATTCTCAACATTATAAAGGCTTGATAGAAGGAAACGGATTTCTTTTAAACTATTTTCAAGTTCTTCTTGGCTATATCTTCACCTGTATAAAGATTTAGCCACAAAGAAGTTTACCAAAATGACACACCCATAAAATACATATTGGCCCTTTAATGGTTTGCTCAACCATTTGGTAGATCACTTTTTGAGTCACTATATCTACTTGAAGCTTGGAACTAAAATCTACCTCATTGGAGAATCTCTATCATTTAGTTTTAAACACGTTTACCATCAAGCATTGCATTAAAGGGTTATGGAATTTTGACTGAGATAGAGGTTAAAGCCAGGTCTAATAGTCTAAACTACACATTTGGATTGTTATGTTGCAGGAGGAAACCAAGCTTCCATCATCAGTGCCAAAGAAGCCGTGTAAGCCCAAACTGGCGGCAGGGAAGGACCGCAGCATGGACAGCGCGGTGGACAAGCAGCGGCAGGAGGCGCGCAAGCGGCTGATGGCGGCGAAAAGAGCCGCGTCCGTGCGGCAAAACTCAGCCACAGAAAGCGCAGACAGCATTGAAATCTACGTCCCTGAGGCCCAGACGCGGCTTTGAGGACCGTTCACCACGACCGCCCGCTTTTGGACATTAGACAACGGACACAGAGACTATCGGACCCGTGCGGGCCGACCCGAAAGACGCGATTTCAAGCGGCATCAAAAACAATCCACTAAAAGCAGATAACCACCCTGCGTTTGCCATTGGATGGAACTCCAGATGTTTAATACTGTTGTTATTATAATAATTAACATATATCAAGACTTCTTACATGTGCAAATACCTTGGATAAGGACACCCTGTACCTTGTGAACTGAATCATGGTATCCCTCTGCTGAGTCTGTGGGCAGGCGGTCATCTCCACTCTCAGGACACACATGCAGCAGGTGTACTCACTGTCCAGTCTTCCTGTTCTCCGTTCCCTCTCTTTGTAACAGGCTGCCAATCACCGTTGCGACCAGGCGAGATCGCGTTTCCCCCTCTCCCCTCCCCCACAAGGCTATAAAAACGCAGAGAACCCCCATGGAAGGCAGTAGCATATATATTCTAAAGATCAGACTATTACAATGTTTATTTTGTAAATGTTGTATACGAGAAATATTTGTTAGAAAGAGGTCCGTGTTGAGTACCAAGGTAGTTTTTTATAGCTTACAAATAAATGTACTGTCATGACATATTAGCACTTGACGCGACAGTCCTCACTCCGCTCGCCTCTTCCATCGCTCCACGAACAATTCATTGTTTTTTTTACAAAGTCTTAACGTGTGAGGAGTGACTGCCAGCCTGCGATCCACTGTGGAATGTATGAAGTGTATGCGCTTTTGTTTTTCCTTGTTCCCCCTTTTCTTTTAAAGATCACAGTATATGAACTTTTACTTGATCACTGCACTTAACCCATTCATGCCCAAACAAGTCCTCCTCTTTCACTACATTTTGTTTTTCTCTTCGATGTCGGGGACCAAGACACAATCCACGCGTCATATACGTGTAATGCATTCCCAATCGGCTGACCGTGTTCGGGTGGGGGTTCGGACGCTCCTCGAGAAAAAAGGCAAAGCAAAACCAAGCAATAATAAAACTCACTCGACCAATGCCTAAAACACTGAATTATTTTGTCACTGCAACATGAAGGGTTCACACAGACAGCTATCCAAAGTCTCAGGATTTAAGCTTAAACAATAAAACCACTATGGAAGGATTATTTATTACATTACTGAGCTGACACATGCAGTGCTAGGGAAATGAAGGCTTGGTCGTTGATTGGGCTTAATTTGGTTGCCAAATCAGTCTCTTTCCAGCAGCTTGAACTCCCACCCTTTTGTATGAAACCTGTGGTACATACATACATTTTTAATTTAAGTTTAATGTTTTTTTGTGGCATATGAAATAAAGGCCAGCTTTAGCATGGCATGGCCTTTTGCGTAGAATATATAACGGTGCTGTGAGGGGTTCAGGCCATCATGGCAGTGGTCTACATTTCATTGTTAAATTAATTAAATTGTTAAATATCATTAAAATGATTTATTTAATGTGAGGTTTTTTTCCCAAATCAGTTGCATTAATTCAGTTAAGTTGTTGCATATCTAATAAAAGCCGTCTATGAGTAAGCATTGTCTCAAAATTATGACGCTGTTCCTATTCGGTCTCAAATAGAAACACAAGTGCCAAGGGTACGGAAAAGCAGGCAAAGCGATGACTCATAGATGCAGCTTTACTGTCAATGTTTTTCCCATTTTCATAAGAGCTGGCTCACCCCCTACTGGTTAGCGTCAGTATAACACTCTAAACCGGTTTCTTTATTTCATTTTTCAAGAACATTTGAAAGTGGACTGGGAATGCTGACACAACAGTTTATTTATCCTTATTTGTATGACATTAGTTATGGACATGTACATTTCATTGTCCAAAATGATCATTAAACATCCCTTTGTTACATGTCCTGGCTGCCATTCTTACTGTTTCAATATAGCATCAACCCACATTACTATGGATGGTCCAATATGGAGTTTTGGAGCTGATATTTGACTTGCTGCTGTGGTTTAGTAAGCTATAGTTTACACAAGGCCTGTAAATGTATGTTAAGACTGTCAAATTAACCTTTTACACTTAGAAGCGTTGTATTACAATACTATTTCGGCTTTAAAACAGCTGACCATTATACAAACACAACCACATTTGTAGCATTCTTGCTCTTTAATGATTACACACATTTGCATTCAGGACCAATCTTTCACACTGCAGCAAATTAGGAATGACCCAGGCACAAAAACCAGAGTGCAGAAAACATCAGTGCCACCTATCTGCTACTTGTTCACTATTGGGCCAATAACTGAAAAGCTCACAAATACCAATATTGGAACCATCCTTACATTATATACATTATCGTAATATTAGCTGCTTAGTTAATATTACATGATCATGAATTCATAGTATCACATGAAGTGATTTTAATGTAATTGTAATCATTGCGATGCATGGATGTCGTTCAAGTGACGAAACAAAGATATTTCAGGGTGTGAACTGTGCAAGTCCATAACTGTGACATATAGTAGGCTTTTCTTATGTAGGAGCTGGATCCCTTTATTTGCCAAATTCCTGATGTTCTGAGGAGCGCATGGCCTGATCAGGTATCTATATAAAAGACAGTTTGTTTACTAGAACTTCCTGTATTTTAAAGGGCTACAAAAAGGACGATCAAAAGGTAAAATACAGTGATGTTATATATCTGTTTTTATAATTACATGGATGAAGCAAAAGTGTATGGATTCACATGAAGAACACACCCAGCACTAGATTCCCATTTTATTTCTCTTCCACGACCTTGACAGCATACACCTGTATGTATGCAAATATATTGAATTGCAAAAACTGATATTTCAAATGATGAACTTCCATTTCTTTCCAAAACAAGCACACACTTTAGAGATAAAGGTTTCCTAAATGTTATAGTTACACTGTGAGATTAGATTCCATTATCAGATTTAAAAAGTTAAAAAATGTGGTTGCAAAGTGGCATTCTTTTGTGTTGATGTAGAATTAAAGATGAATGCCACTCATTTTCAGCTGCATGTTGGATATAAGTTAAACCTATTACCTCAGTTCTTTTGCTTTATATTGAAGTCATTGGATCCTATTGAAACTGTTCTAATTTAAATAAAACATGGCTTCGCAAATGATACTTTGTTTTGGTTGCATCTGAGACTCATGCGAGCGTGTGCGTGTCTATGTGCGCATATGTATGCGTTGTGTTTGTGCGTGTACGTTTTGCCAACATCTTGAAATCCTTTCACTGTCTTTGTTTCCCAGTGTTTGTGTTTTACTGCATTTTCTATACATTTCTATAAATAAAATAAGAAGCATTACCCCCATCAGCTGCACTCAGTTAAATAATGTATTTTGATTAGGCGCGGCTTCCGTTGACAATATTGGTTTCCATAGATACCGGTGGAGGTGGAAGAAGCTTCTCCTGTGAAAGGTAACATCCTCTTTAAAAGCGTTTACCTTATAAACAGAACTCACGGCAGCGACACAAAGCTGTCCTGTGTGACGGCAAAGACAGGTTTGTTTTGTTCAGAGCACAATGATACTTGATTTACCCGTTAGCTTTGTGCTAACTAGCTTCAAGCTAACTTACTTTTTTAGCTATTCTATGATTTCAGAAAGGCTTAGTTTACCTTGATTTTTAGCTATTTAGCATACATCGACAATTACTGGCTGAGATGTATTCTACTTGTAACTCTTTAGTTAACGATTCCATGTATTCATGACAGCCCTTTACATTCACAACCTTAACCTTATTAAATGTCACGTTAATCTGATATTATTTCAGTGCATTTCCTTTGGAGCGCCATGTCCTTTAGAGACTTAAGAAGTAAGGCCATTTCACTTTGATAATACATTCATATGTAATATGCCTGTGCTGTATGATTATCATGTTTCTTATCTGTTAGATTTCACAGAAATGATGAGAGCTTTAGGGTACCCTCGGCTGATATCAATGGAAAACTTCAGAACACCAAACTTTACTTTAGTTGCAGAAATTCTAATCTGGCTTGTGAAAAGGTACCTTCTAATCTAATGGTTATACATTTTTGACAGTAGTGTGTCTCATTTTATCAACACTGTTGTCATTTTGCACGTTAGATACGAACCTCAAATGGACATTCCCACTGATGTGGAAACGGAGTCAGACAGAATATTTTTCATCAAAGCGGTGGCCCAGTTTATGGTGATTATATTAATAGTTGCAGTATTTTTTACTCTTTACACTATTCTTTTGACAAACACTCTTGCAGGCTACAAAGGCTCACATTAAGTTAAATACTAAACATCTCTACCAAGCTGATGGATATTCAGTGAAAGAGTTGCTGAAGATCACGTCCATCCTTTACAATGCTATGAAGACAAAACAATTGACTTTGGAAGATCCAGTCGAGGAAGACAACAGCAAATTCAAGTTTGATCTGAGTTCTCGAGTAAGTAAAATGTGAACGCAGATATTTAATTTTTAGCTGCTGACTTGGCTCATTGTTGCATTAAGGGAACTTGTATCGTTTGCTCTTATATTTAGATTTCAGATCTCAAAGCGGCACGGCAGTTGGCATCAGAAGTCACTGCAAAAGGAGCATCTTTATATGACCTATTAGGAAAGGAAGTAGAGTTGAGGGTAACCCAAATTAAATAATATTTTATATCTAATTTGATGGATGCAAACTTATGTATGACTTTACAATGTCCTTATCTTATAAAGGAAATGCGAACTGCAGCCATTGCAAGACCTTTAGAAATAAATGAGACTGAAAAAGTACTTCGAGCGGCCATCAAAGAGGTTTTGGTATGTCATTAAAATTGTTGAATATACATAGTGTATTTATTTATAATATTTTGATAAATGTCTGGTAATCAAGGACAATGTTGAGAAAACAAAAGAAATGTTGGGCAATGTTGTTTCTGACGAGGCGAGCCTTGACGCAAAAATAGAGAAAAAGCGGCAGGAGCTGGAGAGGAATCGGAAAAGACTCCAGACTCTGCAGAGTGTGAGGTGAGAAAGCTTATCTTGAGCTTTATCAAGAACAATGACCTGCTGGAGGATTCACACCTATATTCTCTTGTGTACCTGCTAGACCCGCGTTCATGGATGAATATGAAAAGATTGAAGAAGATCTTCAGAAGCAATATGACATTTATGTTGAAAAGTTCAGAAACCTTTCGTTTTTAGAGTCCCAGCTTGAAGAGTACCATAGAATTGAGCAAGAGAGATTTGAGGTTGGTTAAAAACATTACACAAGTTTACTTTAGTGGGGCTTCATGTAAACTGCATTCTGTTTAACAGGAAGCTGAAAACGCACTAAGAGCGATGCAGCACAGGTTACGGGAAGAAGAGAAAGACCTCATGAAGGGATCCTGTGAGCTCACTACTTCTGCAACTCCCTAGTATCATTTTTACTTGTCACTAATGTCTTATTCTGTTTTCTGAACTTTAGTGAAAGATGAGGATTCAGATATTGATGTTCCAGAAGACGATGGCTCTGACAGCGACATTGAGGACACCCGCCCCTCAAAGCTGCGTCCAACTAGAAACGGCTTCTTAGCAGGTATACTCTCTATTATCATAGTATTATTTGAGCAGTGAATTCATTGGCATATTGCATTTATTTATGTGTACATTTGGACTATTTCTTCCAGGTAGAGGAGCCAGGTACTTTGGTAACATGCATGGTGGAGAGAGCGATGAGGTAATTTTCACTCAAACCTTAAAGAAAGTAGGATTATAACATTTGTTGCCTGCTAACCACAGCACTGTCACACATATTCTCACAGATTTGACCTTTTCCCTAACATTTTATCCATGTGCTCCTCCTCTGTTCTGCCCCTAAACTTGTATTAAATAGCAGTCTAACGCAGTTTCCAGAAGTACTCAATCTTTCACCAAGAAACAAAAGAAAATTAAGGTTTGTCACGGTTTGTCAGATGTAGTCAATTCTTCAGTTCTTAGTTCAAATCTGTAATTGAAATGTGCGTAGAGATTAGTTTCCCTATCCTTTTAAGTAGTACATACAGTACATACATAGAGGTGAATGACATAGGCAATTCTCAATAGAAATATCCATGGTAAGTTATGAAAATTGTGTTCAAAATGCCTGTAACACATCTTGGTTGAGTGAAGATTAAGTGAAGTTTAGAAATACATGTATTTTTACAATTATACAATGTATTATTTTGTACATACTGGTTTTATTATTGATATTATTTATATCATATTTTTCACCTCCACACATCCTGGTGTTTTAATATATATTTTGGATTCCTCATCACCCTCAGTAGAATTAGGATATATTCATGCACGCACGCATAGTGATAACTTTACATAACTATGATGTTGGCCTCAACACAACACAACACAAATAGATGTGAAGCATTTGAAACATAGAAGATAACATAAAAAGACCACAGTTATTTTATTTAACCAGGAAAGTCCTGTTGAAATTTCAAGGAAGTCTGGACAAAAGTTATACATTTACAAATTATAAAAACATTTACACACAATTTCATAAAATTACATATTATAAAACCAGTTACATGTTAATGACTTTGCTCTCAATCTGGAGTTAAAAGCATTCAATGAAATAAGTTCAGTTAATTTCCAGTCTTTTTGCAACCCGTTCCATGTAAAAGTAGCAGCATATACAAAAGTGTCAGAGTATCTTTCAAACTGTGAACAGAGTCTTGCAAATTAGTGAGTGATTCCATCTCCTGAAGAAGCTGAAACATTGCTCTGCCCGGATGGCCTGAGGAGACACTAATGATTCAAAGAGCTCTTTCTGAAACTCTAAAGTCAAACAGCGGTACAGGATTCATAAAAACTTGGTGCTGAAGGGATTTCAAGCTTAGTCTGAGCAGTAAGAGCAAAAGCAGTAGAGAAAACCAATCTGACCCAGGATTTCTGGTCTTTTCCCCCAGACTGAAGGCAGTGAGATTGATGTGGAGGAAGAGGATGAAGAAGAAGACGAAGAGGAGGATGAGAGCAGGAATTTAGATGACGACAGTTTGGATTTGGACGGACCACGCAGCGGTGCCCGATCGACCAAAGGGGGCATGAACCCTCCTTTGTTAGAAGAAAGTGACAATGATTTCTAAAATAACACACATTTACATTTTATTTTCTATATTCATATGATCAAATATCACTGTTACAATACTTGGTCAGAAACGGAAATATTATATATTTTAATTTGCCTATCACGTTGTTTCCTCTTGTTTTGTACAATTTGCTGTATTTATATTTTTATATTTAACCAGCTTGTTGTAATAAATCCATTTTTGTTAAAGAACTTGGTATGATTTGTCAACATACTGATGACATGTATAGACAGTTGTTTGAGGTTCTGTATTTTATAGACCAGGATGGAACTTAAAATAAGAAAAAAAAGATGAAGTGCAGGGAAGAGGGTTGTAAATCTGACTGACGGCTATAAATATCAGTCAGCAAAACAGTAGATTGTTTCACACCAAGATAAAATGACTTTCTGAGTATCACCGGATCTAAAAGCTCATGTGTATCGGGTCTATTTCAGCTCTTTCTTTAGTTCACTTCATTTCTTTGTTCTCAAGTTTTTGCTTCTATCACCTCTCTAGATCAGATTTTTCAGACAAAGAAGAGAAAAATATAGGACAAGCCTCACTCGGCAAATCAGATCTCAGGCAAAAGAATCAAATAGTGACTCAGGGCTCTTACAAGTATGCAAAGTAAAAACAACAGTATTCTCTAATAAGATGAAGAAAGCATTTAGTCTTATTTGTTCACGACATATTTTACATTGTTTACAGAACAGCAGGAATGAGGAGCAACACAAGATCAGTGAACATTGTGCAACTCTGTACTTAAAAGATAAACAAATCTTTAAACATGTATATACCTATATACTATAGTCACTAGTGCAAGGGAATATATGTGTGTGTGAATATATATTTGTATGTATACATATGTAGACAAATCTGTGATATACTAGTGCAAGACATATGAAGTAATCCAGGTACTCCAGCTTTAAGTAGAAAATACATGAATCAAATGTTATCCAGATTTATTTCACAAGGTAATTAGTCTTATACTGATGAAATTAGTCCTCTACTGATGTCTCGGGACCGTTATTATTATAGATCCATGCTTGGGACCAAAGACGATGTCATCGAACTATGATAATAATCATTGTTTATACTTTTAAGTTTATTTTGAAAGTACAGGCGGAAGTGCCGTTGTGCACTTCCTGGTTGTAGGAGGAGCGTCATCCTCAGTGGCGGCGGAAGCAAGAGACAGACGCAGATCTAAAATCCTACTGATGTGTGCGTGATAACTGCACGGGAGGACTGTACGGCGGCTTCTGCGTGAGTGACACTGCTTTAAACACATTTTAACACTATCTCTGCTTTTATTTCATAGAGTTTTGAAAGGGCCTGGATTGTAGCTGTCTCCTGTACAGTCTGTGCGGCTGTCAAATTCATTCCGATAAATGTAAAAAAGTACTCTTAATTGCTTGTTTTGCTTTTTCCAAACTACGCTAAATGTCTTAATAAAGATTTTGGTTATTATTAGAAGTGGGTAGATATTCAAAGTCATATTGTTAATGCAAATTAGGAAAATGCTAGTTTTGGCCTATATTTTATCATAAAGATGCGGCTAACAGAGCTTAGTTACATTAAATTATACATTGAATTTTAAAAGAGTAAAACAAAAGTAGATAGATACATGACCATACATTTATCAATCTGAAATTACAACAACCTGCTCAGGGTCAACAGGTGTAAATTAGCAATGTTGCTACAATCTGGTACAATGCATCTCTTCTTATGCTAATGTTTTTTGTTACACTGTCCCTGTAAAAATAAAAATCATATCATACCAACAAGTTATTACACAAAGTTTTTATAGTCTATGGTAATATATGGTAATAACATGCTTATTCATTGTCTTTAAAGCTTAGCTAATAAAAAACAACGTTAATTTAATAGAAAAACTATTTTAGGATGCATTCAAAATATGTTAAAATCTTTAATAATAATGTATTGGGTCCTTCATGACAGGCATCATCTCCCTTATTGTTTTTGGATCAACAAAGAAATGCTGCTTTAAATGGGCGTTACATTGTCCAGGTCTTTCTGCTTTTTTAGGCTGATTGTAAAGTGGTGGACTATGGCAGGGAAGCAGCAGAGACCCACTGCTTCTGACGGCTCCGCTGAGACCAAAAGGACCGAAGTCAGGACCACAGAAAAGAAATGCTGTAAGTGTGTAATTAATGTGCAATATTGTTTCTCTGTATAGCAAAAAATGTGGCTGTTAGATATGAAACTGTTTGGCCTGCTCAAAAACCTGCAATAATTCTATCGGAGGTCACCTGTTTTTGTATCGTGGCACAGATAGGACTCATGGTATCCAGCAGAAACCATACTCTGTTGTTTTGTTTCTAATCTTCTTATACCTTTTTCTGATTCTCTATATACTTGATGTTTACTTCTATGTATTTAGCATACATTTAATTAGTGCATATTATATTATGAAACAATCCTTTTCATTGCACTTTAGACACATGTTGGACTTGACCTTGATGTGCTGTATTTACATAAGACTTTCAATATTTAATCTTCCCACTAATCTGTGATTTATGAAAGCAACAATGCCCTGGGCTAAAACCACAGACCAAAAGAAATAGTCCACAAGTTTTAGAATGTCTTTCCAAGACCAGACACGATTTGGTATTCTTTACATTCACTCTTGGAATAGTGAATGTAAAGAATACCAAATCGTGTCTGGTCTTGTCTGGCCATTCACACTTTCTCTGTTAAGGGTGTATATGAAATATGCAAAAGCTTTTACCACTATAACTTTCAACAAGTTAATATAAAATAGCAAGCAAATGAGTGACAGTATCTTTGAGCACGCAGTCAATTATTGTAGTGATCCAGCCCTCTTTCTTTCTGTAAAGGACAATTATTCAACATCTTTGTTGTACAACAAACAGTGCCAGTTGGAGAAAGATACATATTAAAACAATGCCAGTGTGTATGGACTGTAGACAGAGGAAAAGACCACAAGGCTCCATTATATTATAATATAATATATATATATATATATTATGTTAAATTGAAAAGATTTTCAGTTGGTTACATTCATGTTCTAGAATTATATTTTCAGTTGGAGGGCAGGTGCTGGTTTCCAACTCATTTAGTTTTTTTAATATATATATATATATATATATAAATGTTGAAAAAGAAAGTCCTAATGATATCCCAGATCATTATTTGATTTTGATTAGATTCACAAACCTGTGACCTACCGCGGGGAGAGGCGGCGAGCTGGGGTGGCCATACTCATTGCCCCCCATCTCAGCCGCCACGTGTTGGAGTTCTCCCCGGTGAATGAGAGGGTCGCGTCCCTCCGCCTCCGGATGGGGGACAAGTCTCTCACTGTTGTGACGGCCTACGGGCCTAACGGTAGTGTAGAGTACCCGGCCTTCTTGGAGTCCTTGGGAGGGGTACTGGACGGTGCACCGCCCGGGGACTCCGTTATTCTCCTGGGGGACTTCAACGCCCATGTGGGAAATGCCAGTGACACTTGGAGAGGGGTGATCGGGAAGAACGGCCCCCCTGATCTGAACCCGAGCGGTGTTCAGTTGTTGGACTTCTGTGCCAGTCACGGCCTGTCCATCACGAACACCATGTTCGAGCACAAGGGTGTCCATCAGTGCACGTGGCACCAGGACACCCTAGGCCGGAGGTCGATGATCGACTTTGTAGTCGTATCATCTGACCTTCGACCGCGTGTTTCGGACACTCGGGTGAAGAGAGGGGCGGAGCTGTCAACCGATCATCACCTGGTCGTGAGTTGGATCCGCTGGCAGGGCAGGAGGCCGGTCAGACCTGGCAGGCCCAAGCGTGTAGTGAGGGTTTGCTGGGAACGTCTTGGTGAGCCCCCTGTCAGACGGACTTTCAACTCACACCTCCGGGAGAGCTTCTCCCAGGTCCCGGCAGAGGAGGGGGACATCGAGTCCGAGTGGACCATGTTCTCTTCCTCTATCGCCAATGCAGCGGCTCGTAGCTGTGGTCGCAAGGTCTCTGGTGCTGGTCCCGGCGGCAATCCCCGAACCCGGTGGTGGACACCGGCAGTAAGGGATGCCGTCAGGCTGAAGGAGTCCTATCGAGCAATGATGGTTCGTGGGACTCCTGAGGCAGCTGTCCAGTACCGGCAGGCCAAACGTGCCGCGGCCCGGGCTGTTGCAGAGGCAAAAACCCGGGACTGGGAGGAGTTCGGAGAGTCCATGGAGCATGACTATCGGTCGGCCTCGAAGAGGTTCTGGCAAACCGTCCGGCGCCTCAGGAGGGGGAAGCAGTTCTTTGCCAACACCGTGTATGGTGCGGGTGGAGGGCTGCTGACCTCGACTGGGGATATTGTCGGGCGGTGGAAGGAATACTTCGAGGTTCTCCTCAATCCCCCCGTCACGTCCTCCGTCCAGGAGGCAGAGGCTGAGGATGTTGGGGCGGATACTTCCATCTCCCTGGCCGAGGTCACCAAGGTGGTTGGCAGCCTCCATGGTGGCAAGGCGCCGGGAGTGGATGAGATCCGTCCTGACTATCTAAAGAGAGGGGCGGAGCTGTCAACCGATCATCACCTGGTCGTGAGTTGGATCCGCTGGCAGGGCAGGAGGCCGGTCAGACCTGGCAGGCCCAAGCGTGTAGTGAGGGTTTGCTGGGAACGTCTTGCTGAGCCCCCTGTCAGACGGACTTTCAACTCACACCTCCGGGAGAGCTTCTCCCAGGTCCCGGCAGAGGAGGGGGACATCGAGTCCGAGTGGACCATGTTCTCTTCCTCTATCGCCAATGCAGCGGCTCGTAGCTGTGGTCGCACGGTCTCTGGTGCTGGTCCCGGCGGCAATCCCCGAACCCGGTGGTGGACACCGGCAGTAAGGGATGCCGTCAGGCTGAAGAAGGAGTCCTATCGAGCAATGATGGTTCGTGGGACTCCTGAGGCAGCTGTCCAGTACCGGCAGGCCAAACGTGCCGCGGCCCGGGCTGTTGCAGAGGCAAAAACCCGGGACTGGGAGGAGTTCGGAGAGTCCATGGAGCATGACTATCGGTCGGCCTCGAAGAGGTTCTGGCAAACCGTCCGGCGCCTCAGGAGGGGGAAGCAGTTCTTTGCCAACACCGTGTATGGTGCGGGTGGAGGGCTGCTGACCTCGACTGGGGATATTGTCGGGCGGTGGAAGGAATACTTCGAGGTTCTCCTCAATCCCCCCGTCACGTCCTCCGTCCAGGAGGCAGAGGCTGAGGATGTTGGGGCGGATACTTCCATCTCCCTGGCCGAGGTCACCAAGGTGGTTTGCAGCCTCCATGGTGGCAAGGCGCCGGGAGTGGAGGAGATCCGTCCTGACTATCTAAAGTCTCTGGATGTTGTAGGACTGTCTTGGCTGACACGTCTCTGCAACATCGCGTGGCGATCGGGGGCAGTGCCAATGGAGTGGCAGACCGGGGTGGTGGTCCCTCTCTACAAGAAGGGGGACCGGAGGGTGTGTTCCAATTATCGTGGGATCACACTCCTCAGCCTCCCCGGTAAGGTCTACTCCAAGGTACTGGAGAGGAGGCTACGTCCGATGGTCGAATCTCGGATTCAGGAGGAGCAGTGTGGTTTTCGTCCCGGTCGCGGAACACTGGACCAGCTCTATACTCTCCATCGGATACTCGAGGGTTCATGGGAGTTCGCCCAACCTGTCCACATGTGCTTTGTGGATTTGGAGAAGGCGTTCGACCGTGTTCCCCGGGGTGTCCTTTGGGGGGTCCTCTGGGAGTACGGGGTCCGGGGTCCTCTGCTGAGGGCTGTTCGGTCCCTGTATGACCGGAGCCAGAGCTGTGTCCGCATTGCCGGCAGTAAGTCAGACCTGTTCCCGGTGCATGTTGGCCTCCGCCAAGGCTGCCCTTTGTCACCGGTTCTGTTCACTGTATTTATGGACAGAATATCTAGGCGCAGCCAGGGGCCGGAGGGGGTCCGGTTCGGGAACCACAGGATTTCATCTCTACTTTTTGCGGATGATGTCGTCCTGCTGGCTCCAACGAACCAGGACCTGCAACATGCACTGGGACGGTTTGCAGCCGAGTGTGAAGCGGCTGGGATGAGCATCAGCACCTCCAAATCCGAGGCCATGGTGCTCGACCGGAAAAAGGTGCCTTGCCCTCTTCAGGTGGGTGGAGAGGTCTTTCCTCAAGTGGAGGAGTTCAAGTATCTCGGGGTCTTGTTCACGAGTGAGGGGAGGATGGAGCGTGAGATTGACAGGCGGATCGGTGCAGCGTGCGCAGTGATGCGGTCTCTGTATTGGACCGTTGTGGTAAAGAGGGAGCTGAGCCGAAAGGCAAAGCTCTCAATTTACCGGTCAATCTTCGTTCCCTCCCTCACCTATGGTCATGAGCTGTGGGTAATGACCGAAAGAACGAGATCGCGGATACAAGCGGTCGAAATGAGCTTCCTCCGCAGAGTGGCTGGGCGCTCCCTTAGAGATAGGGTGAGGAGCTCAGTCACACGGGAGGAGCTCGGAGTAGAGCCGCTGCTTCTCCACGTCGAGAGGAACCAGTTGAGGTGGCTCGGGCATCTGTTCCGGATGCCTCCTGGACGCCTTCCTGGGGAGGTGTTCCGGGCACGTCCCACCGGGTGGAGGCCCCGGGGAAGACCCAGGACACGCTGGAGAGACTATGTCTCTCAGCTGGCCTGGGAACGCCTTGGGGTCCCCCCGGACGAGCTGGAGGAGGTGTGTGTGGATAGGGAAGTCTGGGCGTCTCTGCTTAGACTGCTGCCCCCGCGACCCGGCAACGGATAAAGCGGAAGAAAATGGATGGATGGATAGATTCACAAACCTTGCCAACTCCCCCGTATGAACAAATGGCTGTGTGTGTTTTTTCTTGTGTTTACTGTTACTCCACCCGCATTAACCAGGACATTCATAAAATCTCTCTAGTCACACAATTCACTTCTGTAAATGAAACTGTCACTCATTACAACTCCAGCCTCCGCATTATCCTTGATTCTCATGCACCAGTTAAAACCAGAACAGTCACATTTTCCAGAACAGCCCCATGGTACACACCTGAACTCCACAATATGAAGACAGCTGGCCGAGCCCTCGAGCGGCGCTACACCTCCACTGGCTTACTAGTCCACAAACAGGCATACCGTGAACACCAAAAAACATATACCAGAGCACTCACCACTGCAAGATCCTGCTATTTTTCACAAAAAATCTCAGATAGCACTGGCAATTCAAAACGATTATTTTCTGAAATAAACACTCTGGTCAAACCTCACACACACACACTGTCTGACACCAGTACGGACCATTGCAATAGGTTCATGGACTACTTCACCAACAAGGTAATGTCAATCCGGTCTGCCCTTCCTTCCACTACCCCATTTCCAACTGACATAATCTTTCCTAAGCCGCCCAACACCTTTACCTCCTTCTTGGATATCTCCCAGTCTGAAGTGGAGAGGATCATAAGCAGCATGAAGCCCTCCACCTGTCTGCTGGATCCTCTCCCCACAACACTTCTCAAATCAAACTTTTCCGCCATTAGCCCATTAATAACAGAAATCATTAACCAGTCACTAAAATCCGGTCAGGTCCCCCCAGCTCTCAAAAATGCAGTAATCCGCCCTCACCTGAAAAAACCTTCACTTGACCCCAACATCCTAGCCCACTACAGACCAGTCTCAAACCTCCCATTCCTCTCCAAAGTCCTCGAAAAAGCAGTAGCAGCCCAACTCCACAATCACTTACGCTCCCATAACCTATATGAGAAATTTCAATCTGGTTTCCGCTCAGCCCACAGTACAGAGACAGCCTTGGTCCGCGTCATGAATGACCTACTCATGACTGCGGACCGGGGCTCACCCTCTCTCCTCCTCCTCCTCGATCTGTCAGCAGCTTTTGATACCGTGGACCACACCATTCTCCTCCATAGACTACAATCAGTAATTGGACTTTCACAGACAACACTCAAATGGTTTCATTCATATCTCACTGACAGAACAGAATATGTGTCCCTAGGCCAGTACAAATCGTCAACCCATTCAGTTACCTGTGGGGTACCGCAAGGCTCAGTCCTCGGGCCAACCCTTTTTACAATATACATGCTCCCCCTTGGTCAAATCATAAACAGACACAACATTTCTTTCCACTGCTACGCCGATGATACACAGTTATACCTGAAAATGGACTCCACTTCACCCACAGGTTTTACGTCAGCCCTTCAGCTTTGTCTGGAGGAGATAAAGGCATGGATGGACAACAATTCTCTTCAACTTAACAGTGGTAAAACTGATGCAATCCTCTTTGGCACCCCCCACCAAACCCAGTCCTCCCCTCTCAGTAGTGTTTCAATTTTTGGCCATAACATCCCCCTGTCCACATCTGTTAATAACCTTGGAGTCAGGCTCGACTCTAATTTTACATTTGATACCCACATCCGCCACCTCTGTAAAGTCTCCTTCCTTCACCTCAAAAACATTGCCAGACTCCGCTCCTCCCTCTCACAACCGGACGCTGAGAAGCTGATCCATGCCTTTGTCTCCTCCAGGTTGGATTACTGCAATGCCCTCCTCGTCGGGACCTCTGCAAAGGGTCTGCAAAAACTCCAGTACATCCAGAACTGTGCTGCCCGGGTCCTGACGAGGAGGCGCAAATATGACCATATCACACCCGTCTTTAAATCACTCCACTGGCTGCCCATCAAACACAGAATACAGTACAAACTCTGCCTCCTCACATATCAATGCACACACGGAACTGCCCCTGCCTACCTCAGTGAACTCCTAACACCACACACCGCCTCTCGAAGTCTCCGTTCAACCACCTCCTCCCACTGCCTGCACCAACCCAGGACCAAACTCTCCACCATGGGAGATAGGGCCTTTCAGGCAGTAGCCCCCCGGCTCTGGAATGCCCTCCCAGAAACCCTCAGGGCCCCACAAAGTGTGGAGGCTTTTAAGAAAGGCCTAAAGACATTCCTATTCAAACAGGCCTTCTAGATATGTACAGTAATTATGTTTTATTTTATTTTATATTTTCCTGATGTTATATTTGATGTATTGTTTTTATGTTGTGTATCTTGGGGATGTTCCCTGTTTTTGTAGCACTCTGAGGTTTCCCTGAAATGTAAAGTGCATTATAAATAAAATCTATTATTATTCTCTGATCTGTGTTGGAAAATTCAACAGTTTTGTAAAGTATTCCGACATAACTACTGTTGTGATTTAGGGCTATACAAGAATACATATAATAGAAAGTGGAAAGCAAAAATGTTGTTTTTTAGACACAGGACGAAATAGAATAGTACATTTATAATACTTTGGCCAATCAAGAGCATTGAAGGACAGCCACATATAAGTTTTCAACCTGGATGTAGCAAAACAAATGAGCTACAACATGATTTTTCACGAGTCATTGATTGCAGAGGTCAGTCAGGATACGTGACATGGATCAAAAGGCCTTGAGAGGCTTGTATTACAGGTTTTTTTGTTTGTGTTCAATGCAGCATGGGCTTCTTACATGACCAACTCTCCCACCGTGATCGTGATGATCGGTTTGCCCGCTCGAGGGAAGACGTACATGTCCAAGAAGCTCACGCGGTACCTCAACTGGATCGGCGTGCCAACCAAAGGTGCAACCAATGACCCGCATATGAAAGATAATGTGAATGTTACTTCCTGAAAAGAGTGGGCAGGAAAATTAGGACGTGAAGCCACTGTTGAGCCCCGGAATGAATGATAGTGACATTTTAATTTTTTAGATTGTCTTTATCTTATTAGCTATGGATCATGTGCCTGCATGTGTCCTCAATAAAGTCTGAATAAATAAATATATCGGATAATATTTTTTCTGAACTGCCCCCACTCGGTGTAAATCCATGCGTCATTCCTCGTCCCCTTAGTCAGATTTTGTTTTTGTATGTATTGTAAAATATGACACATTATGATTAATTTTTGTTTGACTTCACCATGTTACAATGGTGTAACATGGTGAAGTCAAACAAAAATTATTCCATGCTTATATGAGTAACTTCTGGTAGAACTTCTATTGAAAATGGACTTGTCCAAACTAAGGCCCACGGGCCGATTGCGCCCCTCTGTGTCCTTTTAAGTGGTCTTCAGCTTTGCTAACCCAAAGTTCTCTTTGAGATCATTAACACACTTGTTGTAACGCTCATGATTCTCAAAAGCTCTAGAATTCAACCAATTATTTGTATAGATTTGTATTTTTGACATTTGTTTTTGATTGTGTCACAAAATTACACTAATGGCGCTAATTTTGTTGACCTCTGGGCAGGCCTGGTTAACTAAAGTGGCCCTCTTACAATAAGGTTTGGACACCCCTGATCTAAAAGCTACAGAAGCTCAGCCTTGTAATATTATGATATCAATCAATGGACCAATTACAATTCAATTCAACTTTATTACACACACAAGGTGACAGACAAGACAAACAGTTATGACTTGACAAGATTTTACCAGTGTCTCCACAACTTGGACATAAATTGAATGGCACTGTACCTGTTGTTTGTCAGCGCTAATATTATTTCATGTCATGACTTGTTCAGTCGACAGATGAAACTGTAAGGTTCCTCAGCACAGCCTGTAAAGTGTTCACTCGTGAGATGACAATCAGCTCAGATGCTCTTGTCCATCGTGACTTTCTCATAAACACTTGGAAAGCATCATTGTGGGCCACCTGCAGCTTGTGCAGACTGGCTCTTTCATAGTGAGTCCGCAGGTGGCCATGTGCAGTGGTGTACAGTAAGATTTAAACAGTTGTAGCCCGTGCATACAGCATCCTGCACTGTCTGAAGATGTCATTTTAATCAGTCGTTGCTGCAGTGACAACATATCCAATGCATGATCTTAGACCACTATGACCCAGAGCCGTTTTCTGCCTTTTAAAACAAAGGCAAGGCAAGGCAAGTTTATTTGTATAGCACAATTCATACACAAGGCAACTCAAAGTGCTGAACAAGATAGCATTAAAATCATAAATAATTACAGAACATTAAAACGAAAGATAAAAATATAAAATCCCTCAGTTGTATGCACAGCTAAACAGCACCGTTTTTAACCTGGTTTTAAACATTGTCAGAGAGGAGGCCTGTCTCACATCTTCAGGAAGATTGTTCCAGATTTTAGCAGCATGAATCTGAAAAGCAGCCTCCCCATGTTTAGTTCTGACTCTGGGCACTAACAGGAGTCCAGTCCCTGCGCTCCTCAGAGTCCGGGCTGGTTCATATGGGACTAACATGTCACTAATATATTTTGGTGCGAGGCCATGGAGAGACTTGTACACAAGCAGAGCTGTTTTAAAGTCTATTCTCTGAGCCACAGGAAGCCAGTGCAGAGACCTGAGGACCGGACTAATATGGTCGTACTTCCTGGTTCTAGTCAGGACTCGAGCTGCTGCATTTTGAATGTACTGCAGCTGTTTTACAGCCTGTTTGGACAGACCTGTGAGCAGGCCATTGCAGTAGTCTAACCTACTGGAGACAAATGCATGGATAAGAATCTCCAAGTCTGCTTTAGACACTATGTTTTTGATCCTGGCAATGTTTTTTAGATGGTAAAAAGCTGCTGATGTTACTGATTTTGATGTGGCTATTAAAATTTAAGTCTGAGTCCAGTATTACCCCTAGATTTCTGACCTTGTTTGAAGGTTTTAGGGAGAGAGACTGTAGGTGACAGATGACGCTCTCTCTTTGTTTCTGGGGACCAAAGACAATCATTTCAGTTTTGTCTGCGTTTAGCTGAAGGAAGTTGTTTTGCATCCACTCACTGATCTGTTGGATACAGTGAAGGAGTGAGTCCACTGGTCCATGTTCTCCTGCAGTCAGTGAGACATAGATCTGAGTGTCGTCTGCATAGTTATGATAGGACACTTTGTTTCTGCGTATTAACTGACCTAACGGCAGCATGTAGAGATTGAACAGAAGAGGTCCCAGGATCGACCCCTGTGGGACTCCACAGGTCAGGGCCATATGATCTGAGACACAGTTTCCAATCTCCACAAAGTACTTCCTGTCTTCAAGGTAAGACCTAAACCAACTTAGGGCGGTGCCAGCGACGCCAACCCAGTCCTCTAGTCTCTGTAAGAGGATCTCATGGTCGACAGTATCAAAGGCAGCACTTAGATCTAACAGGATTAGGATTGAGACTTTGCCTGCGTCAGTGTTCAGCCGGATATCGTTTGTAACCTTAACGAGAGCAGTCTCAGTGCTGTGGTGGGGTCTAAAGCCGGACTGAAACATATCAAATGAGTTGTTAATTATAAGAAATCTAGTAAGCTGTAGGTAGACAACTTTCTCAAGGACCTTCCCCATAAATGGCAGATTTGAGATGGGACGATAGTTGTTAAGTACCGTAGCATCCAGACTGCTCTTTTTTAGCAGGGGCCTGATGACTGCAGTTTTCAGGGCCTTTGGGAATATTCCAGAATGAAGGGACATGTTTACTATCTGTGTGAGTGAAGGTAACAGACTGCTCAGAACAGACTTTAGAAATCTAGTGGGTAGTACATCCAGGCTGCATGTGGAGGAGCTCAAACTGGAGATTATCTCTTGGACAGTTTGATCATTTACAGGTGCAAAGTAAGTTAGCTCAAAGAGCCTTTCTGGCTGTTGGATTGTTATCTGTGGATTGGAGACAATGGCGTTTTTGATGCCTTGAACCTTGTCATTGAAAAAATGTGCAAACTCATTACATTTACGTTTGGAAGTTAGCTCTAATGGCATTTGAACAGGGGGGTTTGTTAATCTATTAACTGTTGAAAACAGAACACGCAGATTGTTGCTGCAGCCTTCAATCATTTCAGAAAAATACCTTTCTCTCGTACTACGTAGCACCTGGTTAAACTCGCACAACTTATCTTTGAAGATCTTGTAATCAACCTGGAGGTTGGACTTGCGCCACTTCCGCTCGGCCCTCCGGCACTCTCTCTTTTGTGCTCTGACCGAGTCTGCTTTAGCCCACGGCGCCTTCTGCTTATTTTTCACTATTTTAACCTTCACAGGAGCGATGGTGTCCAGAACTTTCAAAACACTAGAGGTGACAGAGTTAAACAGTTCATCTACAGTAGAATACGATGCATTCTCAAAGTTTATCATTCCCATAAATAGTTCACCCGTATTTTCATTTATGTGTCTTCTTCGTACAGTTGCAGAGTCCACTGGTGGTTTGTTAGTGAAACACATGTCAAAAAATATACAAAAATGATCCGAAAGCGCAACATCGACCACGTTTACATTATAAATGTTCGCCCCCTTTGTAACTAACAGGTCTAGAGTGTGCCCTTTGCTGTGGGTGGGGCCACTCACATGCTGAGTGAGACCAAAAGATTCAAGAAGAGAACTCAGCTCTTTAGCATTTCTGTCATCAACATTATCCACATGAATATTAAAATCACCTGTAATAACTAAACTATCAAAATCTGTGCATACAACTGAAAGCAACTCTGTAAAATTATCAATAAAACTGTGACATGACTGCGGTGGCTTGTATAGGACAACGAAAAGTATTGGAGGAGATTGTTTTTGTTGTATTTTAAAAGACACATATTCAAAAGACGGAAACTTCCCAAGAGACATTCTATGGGAGACAAAGTGGTCTCTGAAAATGGCAGCTAAGCCTCCTCCTTTTTTGTTTTCCCGTATTTCAGATTCAAATTTGAAATTTGGTGGTGATGCTTCTATTAAAACTGCATTTTCTGTATTTTGGTCAAGCCATGTTTCAGCCATGAACATAAGATCTAGATTATAAGAACAAATACAATTATTGATTAAAAAAGACTTGTTACAAAGAGATCTGACATTTAGCATAGCAAGTTTCAAAGTTTCAGGATCAGCGGTTGTGGTCGGCTGATTCTTACACGGAACAAGAATTAGATTTTCCTGATTAGACTGATTAACTCCAGATGTTTTTCTGTTATGTATTCTTTGTGTTATCACTAAGGGAATGGCACAGGTGGCTTCACGACAGGGCCCCAGCCGGGTCTCTCCTCTAACTAGACTGCCAGTGGCTGCGAAGCAGAGACCCTGTGCATCCTAGTGTTTAGAGAAAAGAGGGGAAGGGGAAGGCGGGGGAGGAGGATGGAGAGGCGGGTGGTTCTTGGGAGTTGGACGGGGAGGGGTTGAAGGTGGATGGGTTTTTGGTGATGGGTTAGGGGAGGGGCAGGCTGAGTTGGGTGGTGGACGAGGGGGGAGTGGAGGTGGAGGGTTTCTTGGTGCTGAGTTAGGGGGGGGGAGGTGGGCTAAATGAGCAGGAGGGGGGGGTGGAATACTTATGGGGTTAGAGGAGGGACGGGTGGATTTTGTGGGAGAATTTGAGTTGGACGCCCTAGGTGGCTTTGGAGGTACGTATGGGGAGTAGTTTTGAATGTTAGATAGGACTCTTGATCTGGCTACAGTGGGTGTGAGAGGAATAGTCTTCATCGCCGATCTTATCATGCCTGCAGAGTGTTCCGGTAAATCCAGTAGTGAAGGCGGGGATAGAAAACAAAGGGAAAGGTCGTCCTCATTTTCCCTAGATGGAGTGGATGTAGCGGGGGGGACCCAAGCCGGGTCCATGGAAGGTGATGAGGGAGTCTTTGGTGGAGACAGAGGTGGTTGAGGAACCCCCAGTACAG